AGGTATGAGGCTGATACTACCTAAATATACTGATCCATCAAACCTCACAAAACCGGAATTACACACGAGAGATTTTCTAATGGGGTGCAATAAGAAGACTTCCACAAAACTAGGAAGTATTCTTGCCAAAAATCCCCTCCCATTCAGATGCATTGACTACTGTACAGAAAATATAGGACACGAGACAGCAATTGGCCTAACACTGAATATCTTGAGAATACTTTCTCCCAAGGGGGTTCAGTATTTCTCAGTTACATAAAGATTCACTTTCGAACCCCCAGAATAGACTCTGATCAATTCACTGCTCAATAAACACTTGTCTGAGCTAGGTCATGACACTCTGTTGAACTGCACATCTCCCATAGAGACCTGGAACCAAACCCATACCAAACTTGCTGTCATGGAGTTGGTTCAGACTCATTCCGACTCTGCAGAGTAGAACTGCCCCCTGGGACTTGGGGAGGCTGTAACTCTGTACCGGAATGGAAAACCTCCTCCTTCTTCTGCAGAGCAATTGGTGGTTTTGAACGGCTGACCTTGCAGTTAGCAGCCCAGATAGCCCCCCCCCCAAAAAAAAAATATTCCTCCAGGTTGAGGGGGAGTTGAGGAGGTAATAATGATTCTGAGGGAACATTCAGATCCTTAAAGAATGCTCTGGAATGCTGTCCCTTCACTTGGTGACAGATGGTTCTGCGGAGACTGTAGATACCAAATGGCAGGCAAGTCTGACAGGTAACCTCAGCCAGGAAGGGCCTCTCTAGTGCTTTCATGCACCATCTGGTCATGGCAGGTTTAGAATTTTTTGATGTAATAGGTAATAATTGTATGTGATATGAAATTAAACTGATACATGGCTATTCAGGAGAAAGTCAGCTTCTCTCTCTCTCTCTCTCTCTCTCTCTCCTGTTCCCAGGCATCCTCTCCCCTTCTTCACAGGCAACCAGTTACCAGTCCCCCTGCAAACGTCCCTGCTGAAAGCCTCTGTAAATTTATTTACAAACACAGGCCTCTTCCACACCATCTCTATCAGACAGCTTTCTGACTCATACACACACAAAGCTACCCTTGTTGTCTAAACAGCTTCATAAGATGACCTGGACACACCATCAGCTCTTAACCACGGACTGGCCTTTGAAGAGTTCTTCATGATCGGTTTGTCAAAAGCGGAGCAAGGAAATGCCCCTCTCACAGGCTGACGTGACCCACGGCTGTGCTTTGTTTCAGCCCTGACCACCTTTTGCAGATTGTGAATCACAATGATTTGGGCCAAATGGAGTGGGGTGGGAAAAGCTGTCCCCCAACGTCCATTCTCCACTTTGGGAGGAAAATAAGCCTCGCTGGCAGCGAGGCCTACCCACGGGGCCAGGGTTCGCACTTGGATTCCGGTAGCAGTGAAGAACATTCTGGGTCTGATGGCTTGAAGGAACAGCTCCGTGTCCTCCACGGACTCTCTGGCCCTCTGCCAGGCGAATGCTAAGTGACTGGCACAGACCTGCGAAGCAGAGGCAGTGAGGTTTCCGACAGTCACCAGGGAGAGCTCAGGTCTGGCTGAGGAGAGCTCAGGTCAGAAGCGAGAGAGGAAGCAGGAAATCTTTCACACCCCACGGCACACAGAAGAAAGCCCTTTTTCCCCAGTCAACAAACCTCATGAAAACGAACTGCTGAGGGGAAAAAGGAGGTTTGGGTCTACAAAGGATTGGCTTCACAGTGTGATTTTTCTTACAGGAATTTCAATAAGAAAAGGTATTTCGTGGCTATCCATCCAGCGCTATAAAATGGAACCATCACTGAGCAAGCCGGGGGTTGTGTACACAGACCTCATCCCTCACAGACGCTCTTGCTACTCAAACACAGCAGCTATTGGGGACTGTGAAGAGGTGCACATGGTGAACTCCCCATGACCCACCCTTACCATTTCAGAGCAGCTTCTTCCTGTGAACCACAACCTCTCACCACCACTACCTCCCCCCCCCCCCACTACCTTCTTGGTTTGATGCCAATCCCGAGCAGGAAGTGTGATCAAACCCAATACCATCACGTTGCCTCGGACGAGAACCAGTTTTGGAATTGATCACCAGACTTTCTTCTCAGGAGCCGGGGTGGGGGTGGGGGGTGGGGTGGGACTTGAACTTCCAGCCTTTCGGTTAGCAGAAGAGCGCGTTAACCCTGTGTGCAGCCTGGAGTTGTCTCCCCCAAAACCCCAAACCACACTCAATGGTCTCGAGTCACTCCGGCAGGGTAGAATTGCCACTGAGTTTCTCAGACAGTAACTTGCTACCAGAGTAGAAAGCCTCATCTTTCTCCGTAAAGCAACTGGTGGTTTCAAACTGCTGACCATGTGGTTAGCAGCCTAACACATACATAACCCACTGTGCTACCAGGCCTCCTGCTCACTCTCTTCCCAGATGTCAAAGTGTAAGCCAATTGTCTCATCATTTCCAAAGTTGACCTTGCACCCTTTTATGGAGGTACTAAGCCCCCCTTTGTTATTTTTTCCCTCACATGTTGAGTCACCCACCTACTTCTCAGTCATTCCCGTAAATCCTACCCTATCCTGAGAGAGCCTGTGGTCTCTCCCGCCCAAGGTCCAAAGTCTTTTAGCTGTCTCCTCCTGCTTCCATTGTATAAGCACCTTCCCTCCTATTGAGTAACCACTCAATCTTTGTGTTATGGTTTGCCATCTATCCTCTTTCATTCTGCCACCTCGGTGCCTTTTCCATCCATACCACTTTAGGAGGCCCCTCAGTCTTGCTAACTTTGTCTCACAGTCTGCTTTCCACAAGCGGATGAATCTTTTTTTGGTTTTAACATTAGTTTCATTTCTATCTCCTGCTTCTATAGCTCAAGTCTACATAGCTTGTGTCACCTCTCATTTTCTTCCCTTTTTATAACTTCCCTTATCCTATTGTTAAAAACAGGCAGAACAGGCCAGAGAGAGTCTGTCCTGCACGATAAAGAGGAGAGCACGAGGGGGTGGGGGTGGGGCAGGGACTGGAGGGACAATGCCCCAGTGCAGCAGTAAGTTAGCAGCACCGTGCCCACCTCCATGCCCATGTGTTTGTGATCAGAGGCCCAGCACCTCCGAGAACAATATGCAGGCAAGAGGTCTCTGTGGCCACAGGGTGAGGCAGAGGGATGCAGCCACGAAAGCTGGGCAAGCTTTCTGAGCTCTCAATTAAGTTCTTAAAAAAATGATAAGAAAAGTTGGTTCGCTTCACTGGGAGCCCCCTCCTAGATTGGCAAGGATTGAAAAGATGAGCACTAACCAGTGTTGGCATGTCATACAACACCCTCAGACAATGTTGCTGGTGGGATAACTGGATTGTGTAGCGTTTTCTACAAGGCCTCTCAACCAACAGCAAAGATAGAAATACAAAATCAGTAATAACGTGTGATCCTGGTGGTGTGGTGACAAAGGAGAGCGGGGATTCCGATTATGTTTATTATCTCCCCTGAAACCACACGAGGCAGCTCTTTCCTGCAGAGTAGATATATTGCCTAAAACCCAATGTTAATTAATAAGCAGCTGAGCTGGGCTCTGCCTCCAGTTTTATCGTTTCCACTGTATTTGGCTCAAAACCCCTAGGATGTCAGATCCCCAACCTGGTTGGCATCTCCTGGCTGGTTACCCCACTCGAGAGATGTGCAAAACAGGCCAGCCTCCCTCATGGGCAGAGATTGCTGCCCAGACTGTTTGCATTTCCATGGATCCACAGAAGACTCGGCTCGATTATTATCCACCTGCCTTGTGGGGTGTTTGTTTTTTAAAGAGCATCAGCATCCGGGGCTGCCCCCTACACCAAATACCAGTGACTATGAAGTTAAGCTAGAATCCAGATCAAAGGATGGAGCGAGGTTGGGAGGGTGGGTTGTGGATTCAAGGCAAATTTTTGCCGGATGAACTCACGGCAGAGACTCGGATTTCATAGGGAGTCCCAGAGTCTAGTGTCTTAAAAAAAACCAATCTCTAACGTTACTGTGAGGATAGGACTTTATTAGAACAAATAAAACCTGCTGTGCTCTGCCCGGACACCGAGGTCATGCTAATGTGTCAGCCATGGAAAGTCTTGTCTCACTTTAGGAGGAAAGATCATCATCTCAAATCACTAGCATCTGAGGCTGGCTGGATCGCAAACGCACACAGATACAGACAAAGAGTTCCAGGAAATACTCGCAGCATGTCTGCATTCGTCGGTGGAAAGGCCCTTGCTGCTTCCAAAATAACATTTGGGATGGGGCTGTACTCCATCATTTTCCCTAAGGCAGGGCTAGGGTGCTTGGATTCTCAGGAGGCTTTAGACAGGCTCTTCTGAGCTCCCCGAATTCCAGCCCAGCTATGCGGCAGTTGGCATCACAACGCCCCAAGCCAGAAGCCTCAGACTTCTTCCTACCTTAAGGGGTCATTGCCCTTGATCCCTCCACCAACTGCCTAACCATCAGGCAGACTTACTTAGAACAAGCCCCTTAGCACTAAATCCTATGGGACACAGGATCTTCACCATAAGAATACATGTCAGAGAAGGTTCAAGTTAAGCTGTTGATCACCAAGGCCTTGCAAACACAAGGGTCAGAGGAAATGTTGTTGCTATTGCTGTTAGGTTCCATCCAGTCGGTTCTGACCCATAGGAACACACACCACAGAACCACACGCTGCCCAGTCCTGCACCTTCATCGCAGTTGTTCCTATGCTTGAGCTCATTGTGGTAGCCGCTGTGATAGACAACGACTTTGTTTACACGTTACCGTGGTGCTGAGAACAAGACCCCAACCCCTCACTCAAGGCTGTCTGGGGTGGCCTCCGTTTTCTACTTCTTGCTACAGAATTTACTAAAGCTGGGGCCAAAGCAAGTGTGCTCAACCTGCCTCCCCGACCCTGGAGAACCCGGACCAAGAGCACGCCCCCAGTGCCCTTCCTCTGGACTCCCAAAGGCCTCTGGGATCCACACCCACCAACTGGCTCCGACCAGGAGGGCAAGGACTGGGGTGGGGTGTGAATTCACCTGGCACAGTGGGCTGGAAGACTTTATTCAGATCCAAGGAGGAGGCTCTGGAATGGGTTTTCTGTGGCCGCGGTGGTGGGGTGGGAGGGTCCTCGCCCCTTTTCATGGCCTCTTCTATGGAGGTGCTAGAGTAAGATCTGCAGCAAAATAAGGGGAGGTCAGGAGGGAAATGGCACAGCTTTACTCTTGGCAGTTGGATCTTGAAATGGAAAATACCCTCTGAGTCAGCATGACCGCAAAGGGGTGACCAAGTTCCCCGGGCAGATGCCCCCCGGTTGACAAGAATTGCCCCCACCCCAATCATGAGTTGGGATCTTCTTAAAGCTCCTTAGACCTTAGACCTACATGTACTCAGAAGGAAACAATGTAGAGTCAGATCGGTGGTTACTGGACTGATCAACAAGAACAGCCTGAAAACCCTTCGGCTTACAGCCTTCCATATTTGAAGCAAAGGGCCGCAGGGTATGGATGGAGTGCAGGCTCCTTCCCTGGTTGACATGCAAATGTGATGACCGGCGCCGATGGAGCCGGGAGGATACACTGAAGGTAAGAATTACAAGAGCTGTCAGAGCCCCCAATAATATGATTTATTAAAAATATGCCACAAATGGAATGGTGGGGCAGGGCGGTAGACACATGCATCAATCGGGTTTAGGGGTACAGATTTTCGTGCCTTGAGAAATGGGGGTTCTTTGGGAAATTTTCAAAGCACAAACCCTGTCTGAAGCATTGCCTCCAATCTGTTGAAGGCGGTACTCAAGGAGGCAAGCTTGGAGACTGTGACTCCCGTGATGACATTTAAAGACCCATGAACTAAATGATTGACCAAAGGTCACCCAGCTAGTAAAGTTGCAGGCGTACACTTCAAGCACCAAGTGTTCAGTCTCTAAATTCCATTTACAAAACGTTCTGTTCTTGCCTTGTGAGTCAGGGAAGCACTCCTTTGGCAACAGTGGCTGGATTGTCCCATAGAGACCTACTGCCTCCCTAAATTCATTCTACCTCAGTCCCTTGGCCTATTACTTGGGAACAGGCTTAACGAAAGGTTCCCAATGATGATAATCAAGAAGAGGACTTGGGAGAGCCACATGGGTATATCTGTGCTACTCGGCCTCTCCACGACCCTTCACATCAAGGAAGAGCCTGACACCTCTTCATTAGAGCTGGTCTTCCTATCCAGTGATCTGAGTGACACTCTACAAAGACAATCATGCTCCTTGCCTTCTCAGCCAAGCTGCTTCTGGCATAGCGAGTTGTTCATTCCCTGGATGAGTTTGCCTCAAGGTTTCATTTAGGGAATTTCAGGGTTTTCTTTGTCTGCCAAAGGAAAGGAAAGCCACCATACGGCCATGTGACATCCTCTCTGGTGGCCTCTGTAACAGCCAAGAAAGCAGACAAGGCAACAAGGCACGCAGCGGGCTAGTAGGGAAGATGGTCCCAGCACTCTCATGTAAAATGGCTAATGTGAAAGCAAAGGTGTTTGGTGGGAGCTCATAGTTTAAAAGGAAATTGGTGGCCCTAACTAGAAATTCAAAGACCTTTTATGCCAGGTATAGACTTTCTGACATCTTTTAATAGTAACAATTTCTTTAAAAAATCAATAAATACACATACTCTGTGAAACTCAGAACCTGAGTCAGGTAGAAACCTGGCTGAGAAGGAGCACTGAACCGGCTGCCGCTAATAGAGAGGGTTAGTACAGCAGTAAGACTGCGCCCTGCCAAAGACCGAAAACTTGCAAGACCTGGAAAACCAAGGCCCCCCCATCCAGTTCCAGCTCTTACGGGTTTCAGGTAGATCCCATACTACCCCACAACCACTTAGCCCATGGCCACATACAATCTGTGTATTTCTATGGAAAGGTGCTGAGTATCAAATAAGCGAGATGGCATCCATGACCAATTAACATACAAGAGTAAGTCAAAAAGTATTGCTACTAAGGGGGGCTCCAGTTCATACATGCAATGTTTTATTCCAAATAAGATAGCTTCAAACATGTCTCTTTGATCAGCAGTGGCTGCAAACAAGCTCTCTCAGGAAGGCACTGATCTCCTGGTCATCTAGAGCACTTTACACAAAGAGAGGTCCAATCGACACAGTGGCTTCCGAGGGGATCTGCTGGGCCAGTTCAATCCAAGGCAAAGAGGTCAACAAACATGTCCACGGAGAAGGTAACCGCGACTGTATTTTTTGGATTTCTAAATCGATTTTCTCCAAGGACATAAGACGAACATGGGGGCTCATTACTACGAAGTTTAATGAAAAGGGAAAACTGTATTGTTGAGAAAAAGGCCAGAAAAAAACTGCATGGGAAGAACTGTTTTCCATCACAACCATGGCTTTGCGCTCAATCTCTGAGGGCAGCAACGGCTGGCCCAGGAGAATTCCGGGGGGAAATGCTACTCTAGCCCACCTTCCAACTCTGATCTTGCTCCTTCGGACTTTTCTGATCTTCGAACTCAAAAGACCTATATATGGAAAGGGAACACAATTTGAGTCCCTTGAGAATGCCCGGACGGCCGTTCCGCCGTGATGTAAATCAAAGAGCACACAATTCTTTCAGGGAAGGGTGGGAGACACGGAAACGCCGCCTTTAAAAGCGTAGCAACGGAGATGGGCGATATGCTGAGAAGCAATAGCTTCACGTGCTGCCTGCCGGCTTGCTTTAATCAAGGTTCCTATGCGTTCATAGCAATACTGCGTGACTTATCCTTGTATAGCAAAATGATGAATGCCGTTGTGTGGGATGATGAGTTCCCCTCTTCCCCAAGAAGGCTTGATTATTTTTAAAAGGAAGATAAAATAATTTGATTCCCTTCATTTGAGACCCAGTTGGGTGTCATAATCTCCAAGTCAGACCAGGATACAAACCCATAAGAATATATATGTATGTAAAGGCACTTTAAAAAGGTTCATGGAATAGCGGAATTAAAAGATAATGAATTTTCCAGGAACTTTTTAAATCCCCTTCACATATATTTTATAGCTATTTTCAGTCATATTCTAATGCTTTTATACAATTTTATTTCTATTTCTTTATATATACATACATATATATATATACATCTCCAACTCAACTCAAAACACAGGTTAGGTTTGTATACTGAGGCAGGGGTGGTGCACAAAGGGTATTAAAGCAGAAATTAAACAAGCACTACCTGGATCTTGGTCTTGCTTTGAGACTGTTGGAATCCTTAGGAGTCGCTGAAACAAAGATTATTTGTTGTTTGCTTGGATTTCCATTCTGCAGTTCAACAGGTTTCTCTGCAGGGCCCGGGCCAGTGTAGTGCACATCCACAGGTACACACCGGGCACAGGTGGCCATGTGGGGAACTTGGATGGCATCCACAGGCTCATAATTTCTTACTTTTATTTATTTCTACAACTAATGGCACCATTAAAAGGAGAGGAAAATCAACATATTTTTTCCCCTTTCATCAGAACATTAAGAAGCCATTCCTCACATTGAAGTTGATGAATAATGAAATTCCAGGCTAGAATTCTGGAATTGCAAAGAAGACAGTCTTTCCAAGAAGTATGTATCTATGTATAATGATGGCTTTGTACTTTCAGGTATCTCAGTCGACCCTGGTAGCCTAGTAATTGATTCTGAATAAACCTCTCCTGAAGACTACGAAGAAACCTCTTGGGATCCGCAGTTCTTAAAATAAACTGCAACAGCAGCAAGGCCCCAAGAAATCACAGCCCACAGGACTGTTGAAATGAGCCCCGCAGCTTTCCCAAGAAGAAAACCATGCTGGGCTCCAGGTCTCTAGGACCAAATCATACTAGAGAACGGAACGAAATCTTCACATATTCTGGCAAGCCTGAGACTTTTCCTCATCAGATTTCATGATCGACACCTGTGGCGCCTCAATCTCCCATCACAAATTGTCCAGAGTCATTAGAAGAATTTAAGGAAAGCTGAAACCTTGTTCGTTTTTTATGGCTCCAATTCTTATGGGAGCCAACTTTAGAAACCACGAGCGATAGTAAAGGTTTTGAAAACTTTGAAATTTATTCAATATGAAATGTCATAAAATTCATTGAAAAGGTAGAATTAATGTGTTGTTTATTATCTGTTCAGGCAACGTATAACCACATACATGCCTATGGCCCACCCCCTTTTTTTGTTTAAGAGAAAGCACTTCTTTCATGATTTCCCCATGAATGGTTTTTAAAGACCCTGACCCCAGACTCTTGTAGCTCTAGACCGTGGGTGGGACACCAGCAGGTAAAGCAGAGAACGTGGCTCTGGGACCCAGCAGGCCCAGGCTGCTTCTGGGCTCAATAAACCACCTCACATCCCCTCTCTCTCTTCCTCACCCATTCCTCTAACCCTCTCCGGCAGTTCCAGCAGCAGTGGTGGCTACAAAGACCACCAGAAGTGGGCTCCCCTCTGTTTTAATGTGGTGCCCGAACAACATCCAAACCGCAGAACGTCCCATTTCACAGATCATGGGCATTAAGTGATGCCCATCTGTATCTGAGTGCACCAAGTCTTCCCAAAGGCAACGTCACTCGGAAGTACCCTACGCCCTCTGCTGCACTGCTCCCAAGATGAACAGCTCCTTGCTGTGAAGCAGCCTAAAGTTATGAGCAGCATAAAAATCCTTGGGTAAGATGCTCAGAGACACTAACATAGCACACAGTACACCCCTAATTTACATTCCCTTGGACGTGCTCAGCTGCTCTTAGAGAGAGAGGCCTTTTCCTGGCCTAAACACTTTGGCTTGTTGTCATGAGAACAAGGAGCTCTAGACGCCAAACCTCTGCAATGCTGCCAGAACCACGACAGCCAGCCTGGAAAGCCCCATGTGCCCAAGGACTCTCTAGCTCAATTGTGGGCACACACAATCTTGGATGGGGATAGAAAAAAGCCTCCCTCCTACAAAACGCCAGACAACAAAGACTGCAGCCCAAGGAGAGCAGGTCCTCCCAGCCACGGGGCCTGCCTCGGTGGGGAGGGCAGGGGAACAGTGGGGATGGACTCACGGCAGGACCCGGGGAGCCCTCTCGGCAGGCCACCCACCACTGGATCTCAGCTCCTCTTCTCCCTCAGACTCCAGCTCCCGCAGAGTTTGTGGCTGCGTTAAAATACTGTTCCCCAAACCAAACGACGGTAACCATTAATTCCCTTGTCAACTGCCATTATCTTTTTCATTCTGCCGAGCTAGGAATGGGTGTGGAATGAGGGGTGAGCCCTGTTTGTAAGAGATAACTGGACAGACGGGGCAAAGGGCGATGTTCAATCGTGGAGAGCAGCTCGGGTTAGGTGGGAGTCCCAGGCCTGAGTTCTTCATAGGAGCTCCCTGTCCCCTCCTGGGACCTCCCTGTCCTCACCTCCAGAATCAGGGTAACAAAATGCCATGCCCCTGCTTCACACAGAGGGATAGCAAGGCACTTTGAAAACGTATTTTAGAATGATCAAAGGTTATCATTCCAGAACGCAAAACTAAAGATTCCTAATTGTTCAGGCTTAGGAATTTGGTTTCTATGTTCAGTTATTTCCAGAACAGCACAGGGGGTTCGATGGGAGCAGGTCACGGAAGGGAAGAAGCGCTCAAAGCCAATAGAAACACTGGGTCATGGCTGCCCATGGGGCTAAAATCACCACAGCAGTCAGCCTGAGGGTGACCCACCCGCCTGACCCAACAACGTCAAGAGAAAGACTAATTCTGTTCTGCTGAACTAGGTTGGAATGTTACGTTTTCAAGAACCCTATTCGTCTCAACGGATTAAGTGGAGGCTCCAAAAAGTGTGTGGGGAAATTCTGTCCTCTTTAACTCCATCTCCCCACAGACCTTTGGAAGCCCCTTCCTACACACATTTTCAGCAACGTAAAGGGTACAGGCGTATGAAGATGGTGCTCACAAGAAATACCCTCACCTCTCTGACAGACCACCACTCTTGGTCATCTGCCACACACTGGCATTAGCATCAACACAACCAATGCAGGAGGAGCCCAGCAGGGGCCTGCTTCTTCCCCCACCTGCAGACAGATCTGTCAGGCGGATCTTGGGGGGGAAACTCCACCGGTTTCAAAGCAAAAGAGGCTGGAGAGGTCTCTTCTAGGTGAAGGCCTCCATCAGTCTTCTAAGGCCCTACGATTCAGCGGCCTCCACTGGGGAAGTGTGGATCTCGGCCGAAAATGGCAAGGGCACATTGTGTTGAGAATTCAGGCAGAAACAACAGATGGAACCTCACTTCTCATTTAGCTGAAAGAAGCTGAGGGGAAAAAAATGAACATAGCCCCGCAAATCCCTGGCCTCCAGAAGGGGGCAGCAGTGAGAAGGAATGCTTAGGAAAAAACACACGGCCTGCTCTGGGGCTTAGTGTGGAAAACCAATTCAGGGGTGCTGCAAGCACTCGGTCGCACTTAGGTTTGTTTGATGGGGCCACGTCCTACTCAATGAGGGGAGGTGACAAATAAAGTCTCAAACCCGTGCCCCAAAGTCAACTTGCTGCTCACGCTAAAATCTCCGGCGGGGGTGGGGGTGGTGGGGGTGGGGTGTGGAGGCGGGAGAGGGGTGGGGTGGTGGTTATCAAGTTATGAGCCTAAAAGGCTATCAGAGAAGCCCCAGTCTCACAGGTTCAACTCTGAACATTGACATAGCTTTTGCTGATACCACTATCCAAAGTTCACAAAAACCCAGATGCATCTAATCTGGCTCCAGAGGCTGCAGGTGGAAAGAAGCCACGTGGGGCTTAACCTACACAAATAGAGTATGCCCCTGCCTACCCACCCCCCACTCCCGGAGTAATGAATATCCAACGTCAGACTCTGGCTTGGGAATCCTCAGCACTTCCGGACTCTCCATTGGTCCACAGCCGTCATTGACTACTTATTAGCATCATCTTCTGGAGGTGTGGCTGTTGTCGTCATTTAGTCGTTCAGACTCATGGCAACCTTACGTACATACACCAAACAGAACCATTACATCGGGTGGAAGCACAACACCAGGCCTCTCTTCTGAGGGGCCTCTTGGTGGGTTCAAACCTTGTGGCTAGTCGTTGAGTGCTTAACCAATGGCGCTGGCCAGACACTCCCTTTTAGACACAGCCTTTCCCCAAGTAGGCTATGGAGCAGAATCACCTGGGGAGCTTCCTAAATTTAGATTCTCTGGCATTAATCATGTATTCTCATTCAGATTCCTACTCATTTTCAAATCTCTCTCCTCTTCCCTCAAAGGCCCTTCTCCCCTCTCCCTCCCCCGGCCACACCCCCACCCCCCCCACCCCCCCACCCCCGCTATGTCTGGAGCAAACTTGGTGTCTGGAGCATCTTTGACCACAGTGGAAGCCCCAGTGTGGCAGTCAATCCTGTTCCAACCTTTAACCAGAAGCCTGCAAAGGCGACTGGTTCCTCTCAACACCCTCCCGACTGAATCCATGCGGAAGAGAACAGCAAAAGAGCCAAGTAGCCTTATGGCCAACGTGCAGAATCATCACATCTTCCCTCGCCTCGCCAGTTGGCTTTTGAACCAGAGACCATCTTGGTTCAACGATGGGGCCACCATCAAGAGTGCTAAGTCGGGGTCCACAGACACAGTCCAACGAGTTAGGAAAACTGGACCGCCACCGTCACGACTTTCCTTGGGAATGCTTATCCTTCACCAGTATCATGGAAGGCTCTTACATCCTGGTGTTCATCAAAACCAAACCCGTGCCCTTCAGGACAACCGTGACTCAGAGTGAAGGGTGGACAACGTTCTATGCAACAAACCTTTGTGGAAACCTTTATGGGCCACGTCCTCCCCCTGCGGGATGGTCCATGGGTTCAAACTGCAGTTAGCTGCCAAGCAATTTAACTACTGCAGCATCGGGGTGTCTTCCTTGGTGCTTAGGTAGAATTAAAGGACTTGAGATTTTTGCTTTGGAAATGGCAATACTCCGCTATGGGCCTCCAGCTGGTACTCCATCAGCGCCTTACTCCACACAGAAGCCCCGGGAGCTCTCGGAAACCCTCTCAGCTCCAGCTCCCAGGAGCTGAACTTCGCCCGGCGCTTTTTCAGTGGAACCAGAATCCTCAGCTTCTCATCCCAGAGAAGAAGGAAAGTATAAAAAGGTCCAGTGTTTCCTTGTAAGAGAACGTTCCGAGAGAGATTGAGGGAGGCCCCCAAAAGTCACTCTCAGCGATGAAGTGGCCTCCCGCTCACTGGAACTGGAGCTTTTCAAATCAGAAAGAACCACAGAGAAAAATCTATCCACATTAAGGTCTGCTCCTACCTGGATCCTCAGACACATCCTTTGGTGAGGCTTCGTCCGTAGTAGCGTTTGAAGCTAATGATGTATTGTTTCATTGTGGAGAGAAAGGGGAAGAAAGGAGAAAAAAAACTATCAAGTTTTATTTCTCAGGCACTTTACAATTAAGACAAAGAATCCTTTACCCAAAAAAAGTCTTACAAACCACTAGAGGGTGCTGCACAAACCGCTGCCTTCCGGTGGGAGAACAGTCACTACAACAAAAGACCTCCTGGCGTATGCAAATGAGGGTTCTCCTCCTACAGAGAACAAAGCTTTACATTCAGCTTTCCAGTGAGATAAATCGTGAGTTAAGCTTTGGTCTGCTCATCGCACAGCCAGCAGTTCGAAGCCCACAGCTGATCTGTGGGAGAAAGAAAAGGCTTTCTTGTCAGGGTTGCTCTGAGTTGGTGACAACTTGCCAGGCACCGGGTTTGGGGGTAGGGTCGTGTTTTAACCCTGAAATAGCTGTTGCCCAGAGACAGAAGTCAAGGACCCGCATCAGGGGCGGGATGGAGATAGGGCCATTACCCTTTTAGGGCTGTCTCCACAATAAGGTAGGAAGCTTCTTGCCCACAGTGTTAGGACAGGGAATTCTCTCAAAACAGAGGCATCACTTTCAGTCAGAATTCATTCCATGGCAGTGAGTGCCTTTTTTTTTTTTTTTAAGTTCAGAGCATCTCTAGTGACTAGGAATAGTATTACTATGAAATATCTGGAATTTCCACATTTTCATTCCTGATGGGAATCCCAGGTGGTGCAAAGAAATAACACACTGTGCTGCCCACTGAAAGGTTGGAATCTACCGATCGGTCCCTCCGGCGGGGAAAAAAGGCCCAATGACCTAGTTCAGAGAACCCCATGGAACACAGTTCTCTGCCACACATGGGGTCCCCATGAGTGAAGTGACACCTAGTTGTTTTGTTTCTTTTTCCCTTCCTAACACTCAGACCAATTCTATCAGCTCTCTGAGGGTGAGGCCCAGAATTCAGGATTTTTTAAGTTGTCGGGGTTATTCTAACGTATAGCCTAATATCCACCAATTAAAAGGGAGGAATGAAGCATCCTGTTTGCAGCTAGCAGTCAAATTGTCGACCTTCTCCTGAGCAAGACTTAAAGTAGAGAGCAGAGTATTTATTGCTCAGTGAAAACCCTGATCACCGTCAGTAAGTTTGCAAACGCAAACCTGAAGCAACAGCAGGTCTCAACAATGAACTTGAGACAGCTTCACTGACATGTCGTCCCTTAGGACAAGGCTCTCTCCTCTGCGGGCAGGATCGACAACAAGAAAGAAGGCTGGCTTGAGATTCAGAGAGTTTGGAATCTTTCCCAAGGAAGCAAATGATTCATTCTGTCTGAACTTCCATTTGCTCATTTTCAAATTTTACATGATAAAACATACCATTCTGGTTTTTGAGGACTGAAGGCAGCCGTGTGGGAAGCAGGGCCTGGTTGACAATACAGCAGTACCCAGAAGTCCTGTGCGAGTGGAGTCCCACTCCTGCTGTGCTAGACTGTCAGACCACCGCATCCCTGTTTCTGATGGTAACACCACCACACGGAACCGCCCTGCATTGTCCTGCTTCTCACAAGACAAGCAAAAAAGTACTGCTGGCCTCCCTGGCACCCCCACTCCCACCACACCACCGAGAGACAGATAAAGCCCAGGGACAGAAAGCCTGGGTCAGAAAAGAACTTCCTCGTGGATTAAGCTAGTGACACAGGTACATATCTCATCGTGTTCCGGGATCCTATCTGTCAACCAAAGATGTTAAGGTCTCAATTCTGTCAGCATCCATCTTCTAATTAGTCTGAGCAGATCCCAAAGCAAGGTGTCAGAGTGGTCGAAGGGTCAGCAGTGAGTCCAGGGTCAATGAGTCGGAGGCTTTGGACACCACCCTCTTCACCTCCTTATCAATTATGATGGAAGAACAACTAGTCAACGGTCCAAAGGTGTTCACACACGCAAAGCTACCTAGATAGAATGTCCTTAAAGGAAGAAAATTCATTCTTCTCCTACCTTGTTTATCATCAAGAGTCACTTCTTGGGCAGGAACCGGGAAGTCAGCCATGTCTTTGGCAGATGCCTTCTTAGGAGAAAAAAGTAAATTAATTATATGGATGGGAAGGGAAATTAAGTAGTGTGCACGTATGATGAAAATGTTCTAAAAGCAAGATTTTGCCCTAATATTTCAGTAAGCTCTGGTGTGTAATACTATTTCAAGCTCCTACTGAGGTAGACCTTAATTTGTATTTTAAACTTTACATGCATAGAGAGGGAAATTTACAATTGAGATGGAGGCAGATTTACAGACTGCACATTACATCAGAATCTAACTTGGAATCTAGCCAGAGAACTACATAGAACTTGTTCGTTCAGCCAAAAACAAACCAGTATTTTATGTACTTTTTCTACAAATGGCCCCATAATCTAGGTATTTGCCAGGATCTGTTATGCAAAGGGTATCAAGCTCTAATCAAATACACTTGTTATGGAAATACACTAATTTTTTAAAGAGCAAATCAAACTTTTCTAACTCATTTATAGGAAATGTTCTGACTTACATTAAGAAGACAAAACAACAATGTGATCAATTCTTAAATCCCATTTTAAATCTACTGTCAATTTATTTCTTCTAAAATATTAACTAAGATATATTCTAAGAACTTCAATGAAATTAAAGAAAACATATCCCTGCTGGTTTTTAATGTATGTAAACTGAAGATATATGAGAACTGAGGGTGAGTGAATAGATAGGTAACAAGGACAGAAGGAGAGGATCAATATAGGTCATGCTTGTTGTATTTTAAATCTATTCAACAAAACAAATAAAATTAATTTTAAACACTTAAAGGGAGTAAACTGCATGCTGCCTCATATACCAAAACAAATGGTCCATCTCTGAATCCAAACTACCCCAGCAAGATGAGTAATATTTCTGTTTTTAAACTGTTCCAAAGAATGGATCCATAGAAATATTTGGTGGTTATCTAGGATTGAACAGTTCTTAGTCAAGCAGTAATTCTTGGCATTACAATGAAGCCTCTATATGCAGTTTCCCATCCAAAATCTATTATCACCACTTTTGGCCCTGCAGTACATATGTCAACACTCAAGCTTCTATATTAACTGACAGACAAAGGTTTCTGGTTAGATTGTCTTCACTATCAAGTCTGATCATGTCTTCATTTTCCATGTGTATCTATTATTTTTTCCATCATGTCTCAAAGTAAAAGTATTATAAAGAAGAAAAAACTATCTATTATCACCAATGGAACAGAGTTTCGGTAGACGAGAAAGTATCTAACAATGGGTTGTTTTCATTTTCTTCTTCCACCAGGATTATAAATCAGATATCTTCATGGAAAAAATTAGGCAAGAGTAGAAAAGGTAGAAAAAATAAATCCATAGATTACTGAGAGAAACTAATAGAGATCTAAATAAATAGAACAGGATAAAAGGATACTGGGATTCTGGGAAGATGGTAGCATAAAAACACCATCATCCTAACCCTTCCCGCAAAAATACAACAATGAAATTGTGATCAGCTTTGAAAGACTGAACTGGGCAGCAGAGAAGAGCATTGCGGAATTGCAGACAAGCAAAAATCAGTAATCAACAATGAGTCATATATGGAAAGAATATCGCTTCTCTCAATGTCCCTGCCCCTTCTCCCAGCAACACAGGCCCCAAAAGTAGTCTTCTTCCCTAATTGCCACAAGTTCTGGCTATACAAAGAAAACCAACAGGACAAAACACCTGCTCTAAAATCACAAAGCAGAAGGTCGATTTGAAGTGTGCCAATTCCTTCCCTACCTGGATACCGTCAGCTACAAGCCTGCTATGAATTACCACAGAAGGCCTGTGCAGTGGAGTCTGCTCTAATAGTCAATACTCTACCTGGACCCTTGTACCACCCCTAGCTCAGGTGTCTGATATCAACAAGATGAATCTCCTGAGAAGTCAGCTCAGGTCTGTTTGTTCCACTCATCCAATGGGAGCTGAGGACTGCAGGCATCCTTCGTGGAAGCTAAATCCATAGACAATATATTACAGGTGGGGATTCTGATAGCAACAAGGCAGTTCCCAGGGGTCTGTTCTCCCAGTCAGTTCTCATTCCCTCGATCAGGCATCCTCAAATCTAGATCAGGC